TTAAAAACAAAGAGAGAATCTTAAAGGCAGCAAGAGAAAAGCAATTAGTTACCCACAAGGGAGCACCCATACCACCGTCAGCTGATTTCTCAACAGAAACCTTGCAGGCCAGAAGGGAGTGCGTGCCAAGAAATATTCAAAATGATGAAAAACAAGGACCTACAACCAAGATTGCTGTACCCAGTAAAGCTATCATTTAGAACTGAAGGTCAAATAAAGAGCTTCACAGATAAGAAAAAGCTAAAAGAGTTCATTATCATTAGACCAGCACTACAGGAAATGTTGAAGGGTCTTCTTTAAGAAGAAGCTAATGAACAAAAGAATCTGATGAACTAAATAGATCCAGAGACATTGACACAAGCAACAGACGATCATATTTCAGAGGGAAGAGGGAAGGAGGTGGAGGGTGGGAAGAGATTACCCAAAGAAGTTATATGCATATATGCATAACCCATGGACACAGTCAATAATGGGGTGAAGGCCTGGGGGGGGGGAGCCAAGCGGAGGAAGTCAATTGGGGGGAAAATGGGACAATTAAGATAAATTTTAAAAAAAGAAAAGAAATCAGTCTATGAGTTTTCCTGTGAGCTTAAACTCCTGAGAGAGAGACACTGGTAACTTTAGTTCCATAGTACAGAGTCTAGTCTGCATAAAAGAACGAGGGAGCCTGGGGTCATGAAAAATATAAAGCCCAGCAATTTGTTAGGTTATGCACTTGCCATGTGACTTGGGCACTATCAGCCCACAAAGAACGTGAACAATTCAGACAAGCATTCAGCCAGAGGCTGGTCTTAGAGCAGAGTGAAAAAATTGCCAACCGAGGCATAAGCATATAGGAGATTGATTAAACAGCTTCCATTTTTAAGCTTTGCTTTCACTAACCTAACTTAAATTTTGTGACACTGAATTTTTATTATAAAAGTAATACATGTTCTTTCTTATAAATCAAAGAATCCAGAGGCATAGAAAGAAAACTTATTAATCTTCTCACCAGCTTCTTTCAATTCTCCTGCACACAGGTATTTAGTGTTAACACGTTCAGGTGTGTTTTCCACATTTCTCTCTCTCCACACACACACACACACACACACAGACACACACTGCTATTATAATTAAGATGGAGACTTCAGTCAATGAGCCTGGTGCTATTCTCCCTTTGAAGTTGTACCTAAGCTTGATATATAGCAACCCTATTGTCATAACCAGTTAGGGAAAATGCAGAGAATTAAACATATATATATGTGTATATATATCCTATATATCTCTCACATATATATAACACACATATATCTCTCACAGAAGTGTAATTGCTTTCTTTGTAAAATAAAAACAAGATAATACCATGCTCATTACCCTGAAGGTTGTTTTTTTAAAAAATATATCTTTATCAGTTTCAGAGAGAAGAAGGGAAAGGGGGGAGAGAGAGAGAAACATCAGTGATGAGAGAGTCATTGATCAGCTGCCTCTGCACGCCCCTGACTGGGGATTGAGCCCGCAGCCCAGGCATGTGCCCTGACCGGGAATAGAACCGCAATCTCCTCGATCCTAGGTCGATGCTCAACCTCTGAGCCACGCCGACCGGGCTGAAAGTTCTCTTTTAAAAAACCTACACGAACATGCAGATTTCCCCAGGTCAACTCTAAATCATTCTTTTAGTTCCTATCCAATTCCACATCGTGGCCAGATCATAATGTATTCAGCTTTTCCTCTATTAATGGACAATTGGGTTACATTCAGATTCTTGCTACTAGAAACAAAAAAATAGCACTGGTGCACAATGATAAATTCAGTACCTGAGCTTTATAAAACCCGAGCTAGGTGTATCCCAAACAGGAAATTTGGAAGGCCTTTGTGAACTTTATGTGTAAGGATAGTACTAGTTTTACTTTCTGTAGCATACTTTTCCCCATATAAATATAAATTTTTAAAATTATTTACATATATCCCATTGAGGTAGGAACCGTTGCCATTTTAGGAAGATTTCCCCATTTCGAGTATCAGCTTACCTGCCAGAATGTGTATCTAGCTTCTGTAACCCCGCCCACTGCTTTCACGCCAAAAGCAGGCCCGGCCTACAACCCTATAAAGCTGACCCAAGTCCATTGTTCGGGGCACAGAATTTGGAGACTGTCTCCTCTGGGTCTGCATGTGTTAAATAAAGGTATCCTTTCGCCTCCTCCGGTGTACGGCCTAAGTCTTTTCAGCAACATTTTGGTTCCCTGACCAGGAAACGACTCACGCGTGCAGGCGCTTTGCCACTGGTGAGGGACCCGCGGGGG